CAAACATTCAGCACGCACCTGCCCTTTCCCCACGTCGTCCCCAAATGTCTTTGGAAAACTTTCACCCCCCAGATCCTTCTTCCTCCCGCTCCCCGTTGAATTTTTTTGCCATGGGAATGTGAAAAGATTCCCTTTGGGGTTTCGGTTTTTTCAACCAAAACTGATTTTTTTGGGGTTTTTTTTTTGCAAAAATGCAAATCGAGGAGCTATTTTCTTCCCCAAAAACGTCGTGCGGTGTATTCCCCCCACCTGCTCTCCTCTCCTTCCAGCAGCTTGCGGTAGGTGGCGATCTCGATATCCAGGGCCAGCTTGACGTTCATCAGCTCCTGGTACTCCCGCAGCTGGCGGGCCAAGTCCGCCTTGGCCTTCTGCAGGGCGTCTTCCAGATCGGCCAGTTTCGCCTGGGCATCTCGAAGGGCCAGTTCGCCCCGCTGCTCGGCGTCAGCGATGGCCGTCTGCAGGTTAGCGCACTGTGAAGGCAGGGACCGCGCACGGTGAATGAATCCCCTTTGGAGCCTGGGGAAAGGGCAGCCTACCAGCCCCATCACTGCACAGGGCCTGACTGGGGCTAGCATCAGTGCTTGCAGAAAGGTGGCACAATTGTCACCTGTCGATCACGGAACCTCTCACCTCAGCAAGGAACTCAGGGTTTCAGAGACTGGCCCAGATCGCCAGATCGATCCCTGATCTCCGCACCCCCGAGATCTGTAGGCCTGCCAGGGACTAACCTAATATTACTGCTTTCCTAGGAAAACCTCAGGACTGTGCAACTTATTGTGTTTTGCAACAGCTCCCTTAGCATCATCATCGCAATAATCCCTAGTATCTTTTAGCAGTAGTTCCCAAAGATGTATACAAAGGAGGGCAGTGTTGTTATACCCATTTCAGTAGTTCCCAAAGATGTATACAAAGGAGGGTAGTGTTGTTATACCCATTTTGCAGAAGGGAAAACTGAGGCAACTTGTGGCAGGTCACCAGCAGGTCAGGCTGAGCCAGGATTTGAGTCTCTCACTCCTGAGTCTCAGACCAATGCCACATTGGCAGTTAATGCCAGAGCACAGGATGCTCCAGCCATTTGCCTCTCCTGTCCCTGGGAGCATGGGACTGCCGCTAAGGCAGCTGGGAATTCCTGGGAGGGATTTCCCTCTGCTGGGTCTCTTCTGGTCCTGAAATTCCAGGATATTTCCTCATGCCTCCTTCGCCCACTTCCCAGACACCTGTCCCGACCCCACCACCGTCCCTTCTAACAACCACAGGAACCACCCCATGGACGTGCCTGTTTCTTCACATTGTCGATTTCCGAGTGAAGCCTCTGGACCATGCGGTTCATGTCGGAGATCTCGATCCGGGTGGTGCGCAGGTCGTCCCCGTGTCTTCCAGCAGTCAGCTGCAGCTCTTCATACTGTGAGGGGTGGGAGGAAACCAGAGGACGCACAGTCAGACATGGGGAGGAGGCTGGAAAGGGGCATCAGAGGGGATTGTGGTGAGCCATGTAAACAACTGAAAGGAAGCGATTTCTTTCCCCTCTTCCTTTGCATGGAGCTACATTAATGCCCTGGTGGGGTAGGAGGTCTCCATAAGCTGGGGATCACACACCCTGTCCCACGTATATATTTAGAGTGTTTCCATCTGAGAGTCCATTTGTTCCAAGAACTCCTCCTAAACAGACAGAGCGAGGGCCGCCAAATATGGCAGGCAGCTTCTTACTCTCCTAACTTAAAGCAAGGTGGGGATTTGGTTGTGCCAGGGCAACCGGAAGCCCTGGGAATGGGACTGGTTTCCACAACATGGGAAGAGAGGGGTTATTTGGAGGGACGTGATACTCAGAGTGGCCAATGGGGGCAGGCGCACCCGCCAAGGAGGGGCG